CCCCTGAACCCTTTTAAAATTTCTCCTCTGATGGTAGAATTGTCATATTGAGGGCTTATTTATTGCAAGCAATTTTTTGGTAAGTTGTAAATTTTCTTATATAACCACAAATCTTGTTCATATGGTTAAAGGTGGCAAATTAATAGTGACCTCAGTTTGTCATTTTGAAGGGTGTTTGATGCTACTGTCATTACAGATCATACTACTTTAGCAAAGGTGACATAATTGTTCTAACCACTTCTTCTTCCTGGTTTACCGAGACTGAATAGCCTAAGGTTGATAAAAAATACTATAGGCCAGTGTCAAAGAATCATAGGTTGGGTCAAGTAGGCAAGGACACCTCAGTCCCAATAAATTGAAGAGGTAGGATCTTGCAACAGTCAGAACCCAAAAGCCAGGTACACCTGGATGATACCTCTGAGAAGTAGTCATTTCCTAAGGGTTCTAAATATTAGCACTAAAGTTACCCACCATAGATAATTTACAAGCACTAAACTTAAAAAAATAGAAAATGATAAGATACTTAAGATGCAACCCCAGACATCCAGCTCACCAAAGACAAACCCAGAGAGTAATGAGGTGGGACAATCTGAAAGCCACCCACCTGGCCTCTCTGAAGTGGTAACAGTGAAAGTAACAAGGCAAATGAATGAGGGGCTGGAAAAAATAAAATCAGAAATAATTTTTCAGATAACTACAGAGATGGTGACCACAATGAAAGATATTTTTAATAACTCTAGAGTAGATACAGATAAAATTGGAGAAGCTTAGAAAAGTGATTGAAGCCATAAACGCTTAACATAGGAAAGAAATGGAATCCATAAACCAGATTCAAACAGATATCCAGGGGATTAAAAATCTCACTGAAATTATACACAGCAGGATGAGCCAATATGAGGACAGAATTTCAGGGTTAGAAGATAGTCTGGTAGTTAGTGATCATAAAAGATTTATTAACAATAGCAAGGAATTGTGAGAAATCAATCCAGCAGTTTCTAGAGGATGTGAAGAAGAATAGCATAAGATTTATTGGAGTCAATGATAAAGCAGGAGGTAGCACAAACAACATAAAAAAATTTGTTCACAGACATCATAGCAGAAAGCTTCCCTGGCAAGGAAAAAGAACTTGACATGTACACATAAGTGAGGCATATAGAACTCCAGTTAGCCACGATAAAAAAAATCTATAGCAAGACATATAATAGTCAAGATTTCAGAAATTCAACACAAGTACAGAATATGAAAAACTTTTAGAGAAAAGAAGGAAATCGCCTAAAAGGGAAGCCCATCAGAATCACAGCAGACATCTCAACACAAACCCTCAAGTCAAGGAGAGCTGAGTGTGAAGCATTTCAAGCCCTGCAAGAAAACAATCTCCAAGCTAGACTGATGTACCTCAAAAAACCGTCTTTCAAAATTGATGGGTAAGATACTTCCATGAGAAAGACACCTGAGGAAATTCATGAACACCAAACCAATACACCAAAATGTTCTGAATGACATTCTGGAAAGAGATAAAAAGGATTGTAACTCCATGAACCCAAACAGCAAGAATCTACCAGGCAAGGCAAACAAGTGAACAGAGTGGAAGAAAGGGAGCCAAGAATGGGAAAATAACATGACATGGGTAAATCAATAGATATCCCTTATAATCATCAATAAAAATGGTTTCAATTCATCAATCAGAAGAAACAAATTGGCCAAATGGATCAAGACGCAAGATCCAGCAAATATATTTAATTCAAAAATAAATTCATAGACAGAAAGTGAAGAGATGGAAAATAGTACTCCATGCAACAGAAACCCAGAAAAAAGGACGTGTAGCTATTCTATTCGCAGACAAAGTGTATTTCAAGCCAAGAGTGATTGAGAGAGATAAAGAAGGTCACTACATCTTTGCAAGAGAAACAGTTCAAGAGGAAGAGATAACAATCATAAATATATATGCAACAAGTACCAGTGCACTCAACTACACAGAATAGACAAATAGACATAATTTCATGTAAACTATAGGAAAATTTTTAATGAGCAACAGCAGTAAAAGAACAGACATTACTTGATCACTTCCTCAAAAAGCTAAAACGTAACCTCATACTTCTCAAAAGTGTTTTTAAAAAAGATGACCATTAACTCTCCTCAGAACCTACATAGATCAGTACCCTTGACTTGTGCATTTTTCTGCATAATTGTGCACTTTATTTCTAAAAGTCATATCAGAGATGACTGTTTACATTCCCTGGATTCATAAAAGTATTTGGTTACCTACTAATTTCCTATCCTGAAATAAGGAAGGGATTTCAAAGAAGATAAAGACTTTATATAGTTCCTGACTGTGATTCTACATTTTTACTTAACAGGTCACTGTTAACATATTTTACCCCTTTATGTATATTTTAAAATGCTTTATATTATGCAATGAGCCAGTACATAGTTTATAGTAAACAATTTTATATTTTGATTTATGAATTGAACTATGACATCATTTCTAAGATAAATAAAATTCAACCCTCACAATTTTAACTTACAGCACCTTTCCAGGAATTTAAGTTGTTAAAAAGTGCATGGACTATTTGTATACAAGCTGCTATGCACAGAAAATAAAGCAGCTGAAAATAACAAAGAATCAACTGGACAAATAGTGCAGCCTTAGAATTCATGAATTTAAAAAAAGATCACTTACGTGATATGACATAGTAGTCTTGCTAAAGATTAAAGCAGTTTACAGCCTATGATTCTATAATTTCTATGAGAAGCAGTTGAATACTTCACATAAGATGGTATCAACTCACAGCAACATGTGTTATAAGTATTTACCCAATGGAAAGATATGACATTGTGTTATGCTTATATATAGATGTCTCCCCAAATCCTCATATGCTCATAAGTGGTGTTTTTTGAAGGTGGCTGGATTTAGTATGTGTGAATGTGGACTAAGGGTATGATACTAGGATTAAGGGTGTGCAGTACTGTTTTAGACCACTAACTGAGCATGGGTAATGGGAAGCCTCAACCTGGGTGTGGGTGGCACCACAAGAAAGGCTTGTAGAGTGGATGGAATATGAAGGGACAGCAAGAAAGTAGGTTCCCTGCTTGCTGCTGCTGCCTCCTGCCTGCTCTGGCATGGACTGATTTTCCTCTGTGATGCCCCTCTGCCATGCCACTGTGCTTTGGAGCCAGCTGAGTATAGACTGAAATCTGTACAAACTGTAAGCTGAAATAAACTTTTCCTCCTTTGACTTACGGGTGCTGGGTATTTTGTCTCAGCAATGAGAAAAATAACTAAGACACATTGTATTGGAAAAAATTCAGGATTTGGAATGGGAATACTTTGAATCCAAGTTCTGCCCATTTCTTGTTATAGGATTTCGGATAAGTTTCTTAACATCTCCTAATCTCAGTTTTTCTGTTACAAAATGAGGTTAGTATTAACAATGTCTATCTATATGACAGTTGTAAAGGTCAAATGATGAGGGGATAGTTTTCATGGTTGACCATCTTTTAAAAAGTCTGGAATAAGAGTCTGCTTCAAAAAAAGTAACCCCTTTCTGATGTAGTGCTATACCTAAACCTAAATTATTCTGCTTACCAAACCAAGGCTCAGATATGAATAGGTTTTATCATTGTGGATTTATTCCATACTAGGTTGAAGCTTAATAAATCTGTAATTTGTATTAGAGTTTGGTCTTCTTCATACCAAAATAAGAGTTATTATCACTTGTGACTGCTATAAGTAAATGTCTCAGAAAGACTGAAGGCTGAACATGGTCCAGTTAATATTCTAGAAGTCTGCAGGAGGGGGTAAGGGTGTCCCTTGTGTTAGAACATCTTTGAAATAGAACTATTTTCTTTTATAATGATGGATCTGGGGCTACTTTGTTTTCTGATGTTCAAGAAAAGCACTTTCCTGTAAATTTGAGCTCTGAGATAAAAAAAACCCAGGCCTGAATAATCTAACTGGGTGAAAATTTAGAAACTTTTTTTTGTTTTTTTTTTTGAGACAGGGTCTTGCTCTGTATCCCAGGCTGGCTTTGAACTCACTATGTAGCCAAGGTTGACCTCAAACTCAGAGCAATCCTCTTGCTTCTGCCTCCTGAGCACTGGGATTATAGTCGTGAGCCACCATTCCCTGCCACAGAAACCTGGTTTTCTCACTCTGCTTCCCATCTCAATGCCTTTCTATGACCTCATTCAGTCTCATTTATCACAAGTAGAGTTTGTGATAACTATTACAAGTCCCTAGTCAAAACTGCTGCCAATTATTCCTTTATTTGGAACAGTATTTAAAATATATTTTCTGGAATTAGCAATATGACCAAATGTTGGAGGCACAGAAGTAGGCATAGTATCAAGTGAAGACAAAAAATAGGGTTAGTGGTTAAGACATATGACAAGAAAACTTAATTTTCAGCTCTTCACATAGTCTCAAGGTAATCCAATGATCTGGTGGGAGAAACTCTGAAAGGAAACATTCTGCTTCCTTTGTTTTACTTCACACCTACTAAATACATGTGTAGGCTTATCTCTATATACTTTTTTCACTTTTAGTGTACTTAAATATTCTAAAAGATAATGATAAGATATTATCATTTAATCAATATTAAATTTAATTTTATCAATGCTAATAGAAGATAGAGAAGGATGAATTGTTGCTTATTTACTGAGTAAAAGCTTTGAATTCAACTAAAACATCATGAGTGTTTATAAACATTCACAAAACTGCTTCTTATGTTTCCTGATTTACCTAACTAGTTATAAATCATGGTATAACAAAGGTAGTAAGGAGCCTCTGAAGTGCTGTCAATCCTGTGTAAGCTACCCATGTTTGCTAAATAAGTCAGACCATACTTGCCCTCCCCATTCAGAAGATAAGCAAAACGTTGATAGACTTATGAAATATTTCTGGACACAACTCACTACACATTACACTGGTTGTATTAACATGGTCCTTACAGTGCTTGCTTTGTTGAGTGGAGAAAAGACTTCCTTTTGAGCCCACTTACCTCGATTATCATCCTCATTATCTTCCCAGGGTTCTTCATTTGCTAGCAGTGGGTTCTGTGACTCATTCATAGACCTCATAGGGAAGGAGTGTCCATCACCAGGGCTGGTGAGAAGAGGATGGCAGTGAGTTTTTACAGCTACATAGCCTTTTATGAAAGTAATTAGCCTTGTCAAAAACCATGATAAAATAGTTTCTTACAATAGTTTCATTTAGCTGCTGTATTGTTCTCAATTTTCATCTTATTTGTCTGCATTAGTGTTGACTGTGCTTGTAAGAAAATGTTTAACTTGCTTTCCCCAAGGCCCAGCACAGTAATATGTGCACATAGCAAGCTTTATGAGTGTCATTTATTGATAATGATGCCAATTTATATCTCATTGTCTTACTGTTTTGATTCTAAATTTTCAAGGAAGATGAACAGACTCAGAATCATTGAATGCACAGATGAGCTGCTGTGAACTGGTGATAGACAGTGCCCAGATGCCATATTATTCATTTGGTTTATATGGCAGAAGGGTTACTAGGGACTAGGGGAAAGAGCCAGAGTGAGACTTCTACACAGATTTTGAGTGCAATTATTCAAATGTGGGTCTATTTTGTGGCTGTCTCTGGTAAGCTATGGTTACTTCCCTGGTCAATTTCTGGCCATTAACAGATTGGGTCCATTGGAAGGAATTGCAGGTGTCCTGGGTATACAGAGTTATAGTTTGAACATTTAAATCTGTATATATCTGAATATATTCCAAAGTTAAGTCTGAGTGACTTCTGTATTACTCATTAGATATTACCTATATCTTTCCTCTTGTTCATAAATGTGCTTCATTGGACATTAATAGATTCTAGTGAGAGCATTTTATAGAGAATGTAAGTGTACTGTTTGCAAGTGATAGGCTATGATTTTTGTTTTTGTTTTGTTTTATCAGTTTCCTGTGGCACAAAAAGACTCATTTTAGACCTCCATTTGATGTGGTTGTTGCATATAAGTAATTACATATACACATGTATAAATACGGTGTAGATAATTGCTGGTAGTAGTTATCAACACGCCCCACTGACATTGCTTTCTCTTGTGATTTATACCCAGGAGAGTAGGATATATCACATTTTAAACAAATGAGCCTATAAAACACTAACTGGTAGAGAGGAAGTACCAAAGCAGTGAGTGAAGGGGAGGAGAAAAATTTTCCTTAATTAGCATCCAACCTCAGCAAAGTTTTCTCAAATAAGTGAACATGAATGCATCCTTTTCTGAGAGTAGATCTAAAGGGAAGCAAAAAGGCTGTAAAGAAGCTTGGCTCCAGAGGTAGTTTAGTTGAAAGTGGTTTAATCTGGATAGTACAGTCATTCAGAGGACACATGGTTGCTTGGCTCTACTCACTTCGCATTCATTGCTCTCCCTGCATTCCTGTTGCAGTCATAAGAACTGTCTACAATCTTTAAATCAAGTTGTTTCTTCTTGCTTTTAAAATTTTTCCTTTATAAAAATAATAGTAATATTTAACTCAAAATATGAAAAATAGAGAAAAGAAAAATAATTTATAAAACTATAGCCCTTACAAACTTTAGCAGTTTTTGGTGTATTTATTCTGTTGTTCTTCTGTATTTATTTGTTCATATTTTCAATCAGTATACATACCATTTTGGATTTGACATTTTTCATTTAAAACACAGTAAGCATTTTCCTTATTGTGACATAATTTTTAGAACCACTACTATTGGCTACATAACATTAAATCTTGTGTTTAAGTTTTTTATTCATCCATTCCTGTATTCCTATATTGTGGACCTAGAAATGCAGTAGCCTCATGATTTGTCTTTACTAATCGAGAAATAGAAAACTTGGGAAATGAAGTGTCATATTAGACTTGCTGCATACTACAACCAACATTGAATTTGTTGCTTCGAGGCATGCTCCAGCATCCACCTGTTTCGATGGTAATAATTACCTACCTGGACCCAACAGGTATTAACCAGAACTTCTTATTATCTCCAAACACCTGCTGGATATTTCTGATGAAGCCAAGGTTGAATCCATTTTTTTCTGGGCCACTTGTAAACACTGGAGTGCAGAAGGCCTCTAGAATAGGTTAAGGGAGTTGAAAAAAAGGAAGAAAGCAAAAAAGGAACAAATTTCAGTACTGTCATGATTTTGCATTTCTCCACTAATGTGACTTGGTTTTATAACACCTTTTTGCTGTGTTAGTATAGGACTCTCATTCTCAGCTATTGTTACACAAGATAGTAAAAATCAGTTTAATCACATACTAAAAGGTACATCTATTCAATATAAAGAATTAGAAGTCTTATTTTTAAAAAGGCAGGAGAAACACATGACAGTAGAAATAATTAAGCAGCCATAGGAATAGTATGTAGTTTTACTGCTGGATTTAAGGAGTGAAGGAACAGATTTAACAACACTTTATTTGAATCTAAGTGGCAACAACAGCCAAATGGTCTCCATCTGTAAAGCGGGGACCAAAGTAATGGCACATAAAAAGATGGTAATGACATTGATTTGGTTTTGAAACATTTCAGAAATGAAAATGTTCATACTGAAGCCTGCAATGTAAGAAGCTGAGTTTTACTTCTGATAAAATGTAAGTGGATGAGCTATAATCACCTTAAAGACTATGAGGATTTGAGCCATGTTAGTGCACATTATTTTTAGACACACATTTATCCCATTAAGCAACACTTTCCCTGTTGGACTCTGGCTGTATCTGAGCATTTTTCATTTGTTCCTTAGTTTCAGGCCCTGCTATTATGAAGCTTTAAGTACTTTTCTACATTGTAACATCTCTAAGCCAAATGTGCTAACTTATCCACCCTACCAACTAAGTGCTACATGCCTATTTGATTTAGAAAATGGGTGCGAATAATTTCACACCTACCTATTACTAGCAAATGAATTCTTAAAGGACAGTGGCTTTTGCAACCAAACACTTGATGCTTTTGGACCAAATGTATCCTAGTTAGACATTCAGCACTTGAAAAGTTTCTCTTCACTCCTTGTGTATTGATTTGTAGACCATTTAAATATTCATTTCACCACATATGAAAAAATTGTTGCACAAGAGTCCATCAGAAGTACACTATTCCAGACAATAACAAGCCTAGAGCATTGAGTAATCGACAACAAAAAATATTTATTTCTTCTACTTATTCTCTAAAGACTTACATGGTGAATGTGTTTATCTTACTCCTAGAGTTCCTACACAGCTTCTTGATAAATGTAGATATCCAAGAATGTGATTCTTTTAGGACTTCTGATCTCTCATTATTGGTTTGGCTTCCTTCTCAGGACTCTGTTTTGGAATGTGCTTAATAAAATAGATTCTTTTATGTTTATTGACCTGCATCCCCCCTCTTAATGTTCCCTTCTCTATTGATTCTTCCCTTCATTTCATCATGTGAGTACCTTTTAGAAGTTTTCTGAGTTGTGAAACTGGGGAACTACTACTCTGTACACATCATAAACAGCATTCACTAATGCTCTCTTCAGTCTGTAAGCTTCATTCACTATATATATTTGGAAGCAACAGGATGTCACACAGTTAAAATACTTCATTAGACATTTTTTCTCTTACTTGGGAATAGTCCGCAGGTCACTCTGATATACATTCATGCGTTTTCCCCTACTCTTAATATTTATTCTTACCTAAGGTAGTTTTGTTTCTGCTGACAAGCCAACAATGGTAACCAAATAGAATCACAAGGCTGACAAAAAACATGCAGGCCACAAAGAGGAGAAAAAGGACATGGAACTTAGAGCGAACACTGGGCAATTCCCCCTAGAAAAGAAATAATAAACAAACAAAATAAAATATTAAAGTGGTAAAGCTTAGCTAGTTTTTCTACATAGGTTTGCATGTGTATAAAACATTAGCTGTAATTTAAAAATATATTTTGCAAACATTTTACATTGTTCTGTCTGTTGATAATCATACCTCATTATGGATATGTTCTTAAGTGAAGTGGACTTTAACTTCTCAGTGATCCTTTTCTCCAGTTTTGGAGTAGAAAGTTAATGTGTAGCAACACTTGGCAAGTTCAGATTGTACATATTCTTCAATGAGAGGATATCTGAATTAATTTTTATGTACAATAATATTGGAAATCACCATATGTTTGAAGGATGAAGATCAGGGGAAGTAAATGAGTCAGATGCTCTCAGCTGAGGGGAAGTCTAGGGGAAATTTCTGTAGGGCGCAGAACAGCCTGGGAAATAGCTACATCAGGGACTTCAGCAATCTTTATTTGAAGCTGGCCTTTTTGAAATACCTGCTTCATAAAATCTTTGCCTATGCACTCAAATTAGATTAGATTGTTCTCTGTTTTTGTTTTATCTTGAATTCATAGGTAAGATTCTAGATACTGCTTTACAGTGGTTTTGTCTTTCCTGAGATTTTGCTTTCATGATTTGACTTTCCTAGTATGTTTATAAAAGCATTTAAAACTACATTGATTTTACTTCTTATTTTTCACATTTAAGTGGGCAATAGGAAATGAGCAGGCAAGTGAGACTGATATAAAGTCAGTCCACATGTTGTGTAGCTGAGCTGGAAGCTACTTTCCCTCCTAATTATTATTTCAGAACTTTGTCTACTAAAGCATAGCTGTGGTGTTGTCCTAGATAATGTTCTTAATATGAAACCTTGTTTCTGTTCAAAGAGGATGACAGCCCTAAGTCCAAAAATACCTTCTCAGGAGAAAATTAAACTAAATCACTGAACTAATAATCACCAGAATCAGTTCAGAAAAATATTAATAGACTATTGCCATTATCATGTTTCGAAAATAATTCATAGCTTCTATTAGGAGATTCACGGCTCCGGTGTGGTAGATAAAGATCAGTCTCCTACAAACTTAGCTACTGTTCACATTGAGAGGAAAGAAACAATCTCATGGTCTTCCAAATTCTTTATCCCAAAGGAAGTAAAGCTTATCCATAGTAGGGCCATAATTGGCTGAAGAACATGGTACAATATATATGATCACTGGGCTTAGGGTCAGACTTAGGTTCCAGTCCTGAGTTTGAAATTTATAAGCTAGGTGATTCTGGGAAAGTCACTTAACCATTATGAGCCTTAGTTTTAACATCTTTGAATGGGATGAATAATTCCTACTTTGCCTACTTCAGAGGGTTGTGGTGAGGATCAGATAAAGTAATGGATTGAAAGAACTTAAAAAACTGTAAAGTACCATATAACTCAAAGTAGCTATTCTTAGAAGTACAGCTTGTGTCCTTGATACATGGCTTTTAAAATACATGGCAGTGTTTACTTTTTATTTTAAGTAGAGTCTCAATTTCAACTGAGAAAGCCATTTGTAAATGACACAAAAGTGTTCCCTGGCTGGAAAGACTGCAAAGAAGCATTTCCTTGAACTCTCAATGGTATTTTCAGTTTGAGGGCAAACCAAGACAGGTTTCTTCCTCTCTCAGATATCAGGCATGAACTAGGCTATTGTGTAGAAAAACTGAGGGAATAGGAAAAGGACAAGACTATATTCAGCCCCGGTATTGCTTGCAAATCCTGTCACATTTCTTCTGATTAATTCATAACCAACAATCATCTATCAAGAATAAAATAAAACATACAACATATGGTTGGCATTATGGTATTTGATTACCCTCTGACTAGGAAAGTTAAAGGTGAAATGTGATATGGTTTACTTTGTTAGGGCAAAGGATGGTTCTTAAACAGTGGCCTACTGTGTTAAGGACTAAGGTCTGTAGTAAAGATCAAGGCTGACACTGCCTGATGACTGGATGTAGCAAATTTTTTCATGTTTACAATAGCTTGACATGTGGATGGACTACCAAACAGGTCATGGAACACTGAGCAATAGATAATAGATCTTGTATTGTAGAACAAGGCCAAAGAAGAGATGTTTAGGTATGTAACACGGTGAAATATTTTCTATACAGGGAAAATTTTATTATTTCTGCTTATAGTTTTCTTTATGTCTCTTGACTGAAGATTTTTTGCATCTATGATGTGATTATTGATTCCTAAAGTTGTTAAATATCTGAATCATTAAGCAAGTTGAAGGGAAAATGGAAAGCATGCACCATTATAATTATCTACACTATATTTTCTACCCTAGTAGGAATAAAACACTAATTTATAATTTAACTATTCTAAATTATTGAGTTATTCTAAGTTATTTCTCACTGTTTATCCTTTTCTTGTGCTATTCAGTTTATTACAGTTTATATTCTATCCATAGGATTCATCTTCTTTCTCTATAACTTTACTTATCTAGCTAAGGTGAGATATTCCTACCACACAGGCTTTTGTGCAATTCTTATAGTAATAGCTATTATATATGCCCACATTTATCTTTTATTATTTAGGTTCAGTTTGGATAGCTCTCATCATGGATATATTAATAACAATAGTGGAATTGTGGGGAAGGGATAAGTTCTGAAATCCATTGTCATGAAATTTAAAAGAACATATTTCTCTACACTTCTGCCAGGCCCTATACCATACATAAATGGAAAGTCTGCCTTAGCTTTCTTTTTTCTTTGAAATAAATGGATATGATTGCTTTTTCCAAGTAGGAAAAAGATGAAAGCAAGATTTCTTGACATTTTATTATAATTATTAAAATCACATTTTGAAAGAAAAAGTACTTTCAACATCTGTTTCATTTGATCTTGGTAATAAGCCAGTGAAGCAAGGAACAGAGCCAGTATTAGATCCAAGTTTGCCTAATTCAGAACCCAGTGTTTGTCACAAAATGTTCAAAAAAGACTCTGCATTTCTTTTTGGTCAAATGTAAAGGTGGGTCAGTATATCCTTCTTTCTAGTAGAAATTTTAAAACTCTCCTTTGAACTTGGAATTAGGAAGCATTTCCTAACAGCAGAGTATTTTGTTGTCTTTTTCTCAGAAACGACAGATTTAGAGTTAGTTTCAACATTTTTCAAAGACATGACTGGAAAGAAGTGGGTTTTAAAAACTGAATTGCAGAAATACATCTTCAATCAGTAGGAATCATGAGATTAGCTTTCTGAAAGGCTTAGTAAGACTGTCATAATTGACACAAACTTGTTTAACTAACATCTTTATTTCTTAAATCTCAGAGTATTCAAGTGTCTTCCCATCTAGTTATTCCAGTAGTAGCTATTTCAAAATGTAAAAAGATATAGAGTGCATAATGTCATGTACTGTAGTGAATGTACATTTGTTCAGAGTTGGCCCTTTACGACTTTTTAAAAGAACTTACTCTCCAATATTTGATGAAATAGCTGAAGACTGTTGTAGCAATATACAGGCAGTAGAGAACAGAGTAAGCTAAGAACTGCAGGAAGAATTTGTAGTTGGAAAATCCAATGCAGTTATTAACCCTAAAAAAAAGAAAAACTAATTTGAAACCAGGACCTATTAAGTGAGAACACACTGATACATAAGTGGACTAAGCAACGGAAGCATGTTACTCCTGCTGCTTCATGATGGGTCGGGCAGAAACCCAACCGCGACAGAAGTCTATTAATGAGAACAGAAGGAAAAAAGTTCAGCTCTCACATGTTTCTCATTTTATTTGCAGCCACAGAAACACCTGGCTTATCTAATAGCTATGAACTAGTTGCTGACAGCCCAAGCAAATCTGGATTTTGGCTGCTAAGTACTTATTAAGCTCTTAGTAGCTATGCTGGGTCCAGTTGTGGCGTGCTCTCTTTGTTATCCGGTGATTTCAAACTGGTTCTCTGGGTCAGACATAACAATTTTGGAGAATTGCTGAATTAACAATTTAGAATATTTCAAACGTCATGCCAACTAGAAACAGAAATGGATTATGTACTGTAGAAGAAGAGAAATACTTTGCTGTATTTCATCACTATGCTCAATTGCCAAAGTTTATGGGCACGAGACTACTGAATTTGAGAGCCCATAAATTCACTACCATCCTTTGGGTAGTATATTTAACACCCCCGCCTCCCTCACAAATACAAAACCCAGTGAATTTTGATGATTGAAACAGGCATGTTACAACTCTGGTTAGGAAAGTGGCCATACTTAGCAACTTCGACACTTTTGAGGAGAGAAACAAATCAATAAGACATACCAAGGGCAGTGATGGTCCATTTTTAAAACACACCTACAAATTGAAAAAAATAAAGTGCAACGAGTGAGGCTATGGAAGAAGGAAATTAAGCAATACTTCAAAATGTAATTCAAGCTTTCACCAGTACTTTTACATGGTTTCAGTAATCCTGTTCCCAGATGTTCACAGTGACTCCAAAACTACTGTGTCCTCAATTATTTGTAGCATGAGGTAATTACAACATTTCACAGCATTTTGCTGGCAGCAAGGCACGTGCCTTTCAAAGGGATTAGGAACTCCAGGATATTGATCCAAAGATACTTCCTCTAGTTTTTTCAATAATCAGTTTAATAAAATAGAAAAGAATGTATATGGCTGCAGTCTGTGTCTGAATCAAATTTAAGAGAAATATAGGTGGAATAAGTGCTCAAGAAGAAAGGGATGGGGGCCAGGGATATAGTTCAGTGGCACAGCACCTGCCTGGCATGCACAAGGTCCCAAGTTCTATTCCCAGTACCAAAAAAAAACCCAAAATAAAACAAAAAGAAGAAAGGGATGAATATTATATACAGTAATATAAAAATAGGGCTATAACAAAGCTAGAACATTTTTATTTTGTTTTTCAGAGAGAGTCTTCCTATGTGGGCCTGGCTGGTCTCAAACTCATGACTCCCTTGCCACAGTCTCCTGAGTGATGATATTATAGGTACGTGCCAATGAATGCAGCTTCAAAGGTAGAACAACTACAGTAACAAAAATATATAACAGTATTTGTTTAGAATTAGAAATAGAAAATGAATATCCATGTCTCCATACTGATATAAATAAATGATAGAATAAATGACTAGAGGTGAGAGAAGAGACACATCTTCCATGAAGAATTCCAAATAATTTATGAAGATACTCCACCTTTAAAGAGAGGGAATGTAACTTTATATGCCTTTTTTTGAGACAAAATCTCCCTAGGTAGTTCTGTCTGGCCTTGAACTCAGTATGGACCCTATGCTGTCTTCAATTTCATGGCAGTCCTCTGACTCAGCCTCCTAAGTGCTGGGATTATAAATGTGTGCTACCACTCTGGGCTTCACATTCTTTTAGTGTGGGGTGTGCTGTGACTTTCTTTCAAAGAGTATGGTACCGAAGGGGAGGTGTGTGGGAAATATTTTACAGTGGAAAAACTTGAAAAATATTATCTGAGCCAGATGATCAAGACTAACATTGCAGTGATTAAGTCATGTTTATATGTACCCTTGATATTATATAGTGAGAATTGCACTTTATCTTTATGGTCATCTCCCCAAATCACATTACCCCAGTCTAATGATTATGAGAAAGGATTCAACACATCCTAGTTGAGGGACATTCTACATAATGCCTGATCGTTGATACTGAAAACTGTCGAGATCATCAAAAGTTAGTTAAAGTTGGAGAAACTGTCACAAGTTTTAGGATCTAAGAAGACTACTAAATGTAATGCGGTATTCTGGGTGGGATTCTAAAACCAAAACAATATTAGGGGAAAACTAGTTTTAGTTCAACGTTTTTTTTTACTGCATCAGACTGATATTTTTTAAAAAACCCTCCTGTTTCTTTCTTCCCTTCCTTCCTTCTTTTCTTTCTTTCCCTTAGGTTAAAGGCATTCTCCTTTCTTTCCCATTTTCTCCATGTTCATTTCTTCCATTGTTAAAATGAGGTATCCAGGGGCTGGGGATTTAGCTCAGCACCACAGCACCTGCCCGGCAAGCGCAAGGTCTTGAGTTCAATTTCCAGTACTGGGGAAAAAAAAAATGAGGTATCCGTATTGGTTCATTAATTGTTACAAATGTATCAGTAACAGAAGGTGCTAATAATTGGGAAACTGGGTGTGATACATATGAAAACTCTTCACAATAAGTCTATAAACTACAAACTCTTCTGAAATAAAAAGTTTATTTTGTAAATCGAGTTCTATTTCTCTATCTTTAGAACAGTTTAAATCATTGTCTTCCCTGTGACAGTGATTACCATGTGCTCTTCACGACCTAAAGGAAATGCTCTTAACTAGGTTACACATTAGGATTAGTCATTTTGTGATCTAGGAAACCATCCATGTCCGAGCTAAGCCCAGGGAAAATATGTCTGCAACTTACATAGCACAGACAGAGCAGTGGTGGCAGCGGTCCGGCTTGATCAGATGACACCGGTCACAGAATCGTACAGCTATAGGAAAAATAAGGTGGTTAGCATTTGTTAGGACACAATGTAAGACCTTATATCTTACTAATGTATGTGGATGACTTGTTGTATACTGACTAAAGGTACTGAAACTCATCTTAAGTAGGCGAGCAAAAGATAATTAAGAGAATTGTGCTATGTATTTTTCCGTTGTTGAATCAATCTTGAAAGTATCTTTTGGGGAAGTGGAAAAGTTTCATATTGGGATATCTGACATAGAATTTTGTAAAATAAAACTACTATCAACTACTTCAGACATCTTGAGAGATCACTTAGTCTGTTTATTCCAAAGTTTCTATCTGAAAACAGGAACTCATAATTTATCTCTTGTCTCCACAGGTTAGATTGTATAAGGCAAATAAAATGCCTACAAAATGGCAGAGTGGTATTTAGGAAAACAATTTGAAGAATACATGTCCTAGAAAAATTAGTTCAACTGTCCATTTCATTGATAAAGAAGTGCTGTATCACATGATTTGTTCAAGGTCACACAGCAAATAAATGATAGGTCTGTGACCTGGATAGTTTTTCTAACGTTTTAGTTCAAGGCTTTTCTTTACCTCATCAGACTGATATTTTTAAAAAATCCTTCCTGTCTCTTTCTTCCCTTCCTTCCTTCTTTTCTTTCTTTCCCTTAGATTAAAGGCATTCTCCTTTCTTTCCCATTTTCTCCATGTTCATTGATAAAATATAGCTTTGTATAGTGACTATTATTTAAGTATAAAAACTAAAATTATGGATGATTTCAGCTAATATAAAAATACAATAATATAATCATTTCACCTAAAATGTACACCTAAGGAAGCACATATAACTGTCTCAAAACAATAGATTGCTCAGTCGGCAAAGTTTTGTGCTCATTTCTACCAGTGGGGGGGGTGTGACCAAAAATATAGGTATAATCAAGTCAAGGAGGAATAGAGAAGCACTTAGATGTCTGATGACTTTAGCATACTTTTAAAGATACTGTCAATGCTGCAGCCATAGTTTAAGTCATCATTATTTCTCACCTAGACGCCTACAATAGTCACAAAATTGATCACTCCACCTTCATTCTTGCCCCCCCCCAATGCCTACTATACAGAGCAACTGAGTAATCTGTCAGAATGCAAACCAGACTGTATTGTATTACTCCCCACTTAAAACTCTTTCCAAAACCCTTAAAATAAAATCCAGCTTCTACCATGGCTGCATTAGCTGACCTCTGACTATCTCTTCCACCTTGCCTTGTGTCACTCTCAACCTATTATACTTCACTGACATTGGCTGCCTCTCTGCTCACATAGTACTGCAAGCTTTCTCTGGTTTCAGGGGCACTGCATTTATAATCCTTTTGGCCTGGGATGATCATCACTTTGCTCTTTGAATTATGTGTCAACTTAACTGGGGTTGCTTAGGTATTTGGATAAACATTATATCTGGGTATATTATATCTATGAAGGTCTTTCCAGAGGAAAGTGGCATGAACTGGTAGACTCAGAGAAGCAAATTGTCTTCTGTAGTGTGGGTTGGCTTCAATCAGTCTAATGAGGACTTCAACAAAAAAAAAAAAAAAAACAAAACAGAGAAAGGGAGAATTTGTTCTCCCCGAATGGATGCATGAGCAGAAACATCAGTCTTCTGCCCTTAGACTTGGATTTAAACAACCAGGGATCCTGGTTCTCAGGCCGTCAGACTTAGACTAGAACTTACACACCACTACCCCTCTGTTTCTCAGGTTTTGGGACTTGGACTAAAACATACAACATTGGTTCTTCTGACTTGCAGGCCTTTATATTCATTTTTGGAAATATTACCACTTTTCTTGGGGCTGCAGCTTACAGATGGCAGATAGTGCCATCTCCCAGCTTCCATAATTGCCTAAGCTAATATATCTTCTATTGTTTCTCTTTCTTTGGAGAACCTGAGTAATACACATTTTGGTAGTTAGAGTCATTTCAGAGGAAGAGAAATTTACTGAGTTTTCTGAATTCATTCTATAGATTCTGGAATTGGCTCTCTGATCTGATTGGATTTGAAAATACTAATGACTGTATTAAAAGTAGTAAAAGAAAAGAATGAGCTCAGGGATTTGAATTCCATGTTCGGGTGCCATATAAATGACATAGAATCGTCTGTGGTCTCCTGAAGAAGATGCTTATCGCTCGATCACAAGACTGATACTGTTAAAAATCAAACACAGAATTTCATCCTGGGAACAGCTGAATTATGCAAGTAATTTCCAGTCATGTAGGGTGTCTACTGATTGGAGAAGACTGGGATCCTATAATTTAGTATGGGTATGTGTGGGAAGACCATGGTGAAACCAGGCATGTGGAGCCCATAAATTCTGATAAACTTTCTCTGTCAGGAAAAGAGGCCACTGTACTCTGGCTTCTCTTCATATCATATAAATATTTCACCTCTACTAAAGAAAAAGAGGTTGCTCCACCTGCAGTGGAAGCAGCTTCCTGATCAGCACTGCTACTGGATTCTCCATTCCTGTCTCAAGGGCATAATCTTGCATTGCCAGGAGAACCTTAGGCCATTATGCAAGAAAATACTGATTCTCCTCAAAACCTTCCCCTCTTTGTTTCCAGACCTATAATTAGACTGAAGAATTAGCAGGCTCCAAAAGGTGAGGTACGCAGTATGGCTTATGAGGAGGTACAATATACTCCAAAAGAACTTGAGTTTTATAGCTTATACAAGCAGAAATGCAGGGAATATGTATGGGAATGGATAATAAAGGATATAAAATAATGGTGGAAACAATGTAAAATTAGATATAGATGAAAATATTGATATGGTTCCACTAAGCAGGCATTCAGCATTTAATGTTGCAGCTAAGGGAGGTAGAAAAGGCTTTAAGAGTTTGGTTGATTAGTTGAAACATGGACCACAAAGTAGCTCATAGTACATTAATTGGAAATTTCAAACCTGCCTTGATTTAGTGTAGACAAGGAATTTCAAGGTTAAAAGAGATTGAAGTGTTAGGGTGAATTTGTCATTGAAGACCTACTCACTTACATTAAGAGGGTTTATAAGACATACTTTTCACCAATACTATGAGAAATAAATTTGTGCAAGGAACACCAGCATGCTTGAAGAGTTCTATGACTGCTCTTCTTTATAGGCCAGATCTCACAGTGGGAACTACAGTCACTAAACTGGGAAACCTAAATGCAGTGGGTGTAATTGGATCTTGTGGTGGCACCAGCTAAGTGTGGCAATAAGCCACTAAAAGCAAGGTAGGTATGGTTATCATTATGGACAGTGGAATCAAAGTAGCATTCAGAACCGTTTGACTCATCCAGAACTATGGCTTTGGCTAATCATAGTTTCCAGAAATAAAATAGGTAGGAAGCTGACTACATTCTTATTTGTAGAAGCAGAAAAGTCCTAGGTCAACTGTTATGCTTTAAATCTAAAAAGTCCTCAAAGTATCACATTCAGAGGTGAGAACTGGTTGTAAGGTGCAGGTCACTGGGGTGGGGGAGCATGACTTGGAAGGGTGTATTTCTACTTCCAGATCCTCCCTTGTTTGTTTCCTAGCAGCTATGTGGTCAACAGCTTTTCTCTGCTATGCCATTCTACCATACTATTTTTGCCACAGAGCAGGCCAACCATAGACTGAATCCACTCAAACTATGAGCCAACATAAACCTCTCCTCGTTTAAATTCTGGGTGTTGGAGATTTTGTTCTAGTGATGGGAAGGTGACTGATAGAGTCAAGTCAATGAAAGTCTAATCTCAATCCTAAAAACAGTCATGGCTTCTCAATGAATTCCAAGACTTGGGCCAGTTTACATATACAAAACACCGTGAGTGAAGTGGAGATCAGATTCCTTGAGGAAAGACCTCAGGATGCTTTCAAAACTGCTAAAACTTTATATTCCTAATCTTTTGCCCAGCCTTCACCAAAAGTACTTCTGGCCTTTTATCAAGGTAATTTAGCCCCAAGGAAAAGGAAATAAGCAGTCCTTTAGGAGAATGATGGATACTCGCTGTGAGTATACTAAAACTTCAGTATGGTTCACCAGTCAGAGTTGGAACTTATGGAGGCCAGGTAATCAATGGGGTTTTTAGCTCTGGTCTGACCCATAGTCTGTCTAATGGGTAGCCAACGCCTTTGTAAATATTTTTCCAGTGTCCAGAATGCATAATTGGAGAAGACATACTTAGAAGCTCTCCACAATGGTTTCTAACCTGTAGGGTTATTATATTGGGAAATGTCAAGTGCAAGACAGTGGAATTGCCTCTACTTACGAAAATGGTAAGCCAAATCCATACTGCATCCCTAGAGGGACTGCATTGATTAGTGCCATCATCAAGAACTTAAAAGATTTTGAGGATTATAACTAAAACACTCCTCATATAACTATCCTATTTGGCCTGTGTAGAAGACATATGTATCTTGGAGAATAGCGAAATGGTAAGTGCAGTTGTAGCTTCTGTACCAGATATGGTTTCATTGTTTGAGTAAACTAACATATTCCTTAGTACCTGGTATGCAGCTGTTGTTCTGGCAAATACCTTTATCTCCATCTCTATCCATTAGAACCATGACAGGCAATTTGCTTTCTGCTACCTCAGGAGTATATCAACTCTTCAGTGCTATGTCACAATTTAGTTTGCAGGGAACTCGATCATTTTTCTCTTCCATAAGACATCACACTAGTCCATTGCATTGATGACATTATGCTGATTTGACCTAGTGAGCAAGAAGTAGCAATTATTCTAGACTCATTGGCAAAACAATTGTGTGGCACAGAACGAAAAATAAATGCAACAATAATTCAACAGCTCTCTACATCAGTAAAATTTCTAGGAGTCCAGTGATGTGGGACAAGTTGAGATATTTTTTCTAAGGTGAAGGATACATTATAAAACAAAAGAAGAAGTACAATGCCTGGTTGGCTTTCTCACATTTTGAAGACAACATATTCTTTATTTGAGCATAATACCTTTATCATTTACTGAATGACTTGAAGTCTACTGATTTT